TTTCACTCTGGAGGAGTGGACTTTGTTGGATCCTTCCCAGAAGAGTCTCTACAGAAATGTGATGCAGGAAATCTTTAGAAACCTAGACACTATAGAAATCTTATGGGAAAGACACTCTTTGAAAGTAAAGAAAGTAGTCAGTTTGGAAGAACCTTTGGTCAAATTCCAGATCACATGGTGAGCAAGAAAACTTCTCCTCGAGTAAACCCATGTGAAAGCAGTGTGTGTAGAAAAGTCTCCATTGATCGTTCATCATTTATTATACCCATTAAAGCTGGCACTGGACAGAAAGCACCTGAGTATAAGGAATGTAGACAAAAGCCATATACACATAAGAAATGTGAGAAAACTTTCAGTTACCCCCACTCCTTTGGAACACATGAAAGGTCTTCCACTGGAGAGAAACTCTTTAATTGTAAGGAATGTGGAAAACCTTTCATTTCTCTCACTGGCTTTCGAAATCATATGGTAATACACAGTGGAGATGGACCTCATAAATGTATGTTTTGTGACAAAGCATTTGCTTTTCGAAGTTTATATCATAAACATGAAAGAATTCACACTGGAGAGAAACCATATAAATGTAAACAATGTGGTAAGGCTTTCCATACCTCCGGTTCTGTTCTAGCACACAAAATAACTCACACTGGAGAGAAGACTTATGAATGTAAGGAGTGTGGAAGAGCCTTTGTTCATTTCAGTTCCTTTCATATACATGAAAGGACTCACACTGGAGAGAAACCTTATGAATGTGAGCAATGCGGGAAGGCATTTGCTCAGCAGAGGAGCGTTCAGTGGCACATGAGAATGCACACAGGAGATAGACCTCATAAATGTAAGATATGTGGGAAAGACTTTTATTCTCCTGGTTCACTTCAAAGACATGAAAGAAGTCACTCTGGGGAGAAACCCTATGAATGTAAGCAGTGTGACAAAGCCTTAAGTTCTTCAACTTCCTTGCGATATCATGAAAGGATACACACTGGTGAGAAGCCCTTTAAATGTAAGTACTGTGGGAAAGCCTTCAGGTCTTCCAGTTTCTTTCGAATACATGAAAGGACTCACACTGGAGAGAAGCCTTATAAATGTAAGCTTTGTGGAGATGCATTCCATTGTGTCTGTTCCTTTCATAGACATGAAAGGATTCACACTGGAGAGAAACCCTATGAATGTAAACATTGTGGTAAAACCTTCACTTCCTCTACTTCCTTTCAAATACATGATAGAATTCACACTGGAGAGAAACCCTATGAATGTAAGCACTGTGGAAAAGCCTTCAGGTCTGCCAAAGGCATTCGAATACATGAAAGGACTCACACAGGTGAGGAGCCCTATGAATGTAAGCAATGTGGGAAAGCCTTCCATTATGACAGTTCCTTTCTTTATCATAAAAGGACTCACACTAGTGAGAAACATTGTGAATGCAAGCAATGTGGTAAATTCATCAGTTCCACTTCCTTTCAAATACATAAAAGAATTCACACAGAAGGGAAATCCTATGAATGTAAACAATGTGGGAAAATACTCCATTCCCTTAGGTCATTTCACAGACATGAAAGGACTCACACAGAAGAGAAACCCTATAAATGTAAACAATGTGGTAATGCCTTCAGGTCTGCCAAGTCCCTTCAAATACATGAAAAAATTCACACCGGACAAAACCTTATGAATGTAAGAAATGTGGGAAGGCCTTTCACCCTAGTTCCTGTCAAAGACATGAAAGAACTCATACAACTAGTATATAATTAATTTGTAGACCTGGGACAGGATTCAGTTGTCTCAGTTCCTACTGAACACAGAAATAGAGTAGAGAAAGACTATGAAATAATGACTTTTAAGTTCAGAAGAGAAACCTGTACTAGGACACTAAAATCCAGAGTTAGAGTTGGATGATTCCATGATAAAATTTACTAATGGCCTATTTTACATGAAATTTCAAAGACAGAAATGAAGAAGGCTTTAGTTACTTTTTAGAGCACCATACAGTGAGAGAGCCAGATTCATGTAGGCTACACGGACCCCTACTTCAAAATTGTTTTTATGAATCCTTGGTTTGCCAGAGTGTTCTCAAAATCACTTCACTTTCATCAGGTTTCCAAAGATATCCCTAGAAATTCCACATTAAAAATCCATCAGTAGTAGACAGGAAATTGAGGAGAACAATTTTTTTTTTTAAGACTAGGGAAAAAATAGCAATTTGCAGTTTTGTTTTCTGCCAATATTAGGTCTTTATCAGAGAGCTAATGTAGGCTGTCTTGGGTGGGAATATCCTCTCATACTGTAATCTCCTAGTCTATTGATTGAATTGGTAGAAGTGGTCATTTGTACTGCAAGGACATTTGTTCCTACTGGCAGTGACTGTTTTTTTTGAATCAGCATGACAACTACAATGCTGCCCTTCAAACCAACTGGAAGGGGGCTTATTCTCCTGCTGTATTGTACAGTGACTGGTCTCACCCAGAATTTTTATATGAGAATAAGCACCTCCATTTATCAGAAACTATTTAGTGTTTCCTGTTTTCATACCTGAATGTAATATCTCAGTTCATTTTCAACTATATTTTATGTGATTAAAAACAGTATGTATGGCTTGGTGCCTGTAGCTTAGTGGCTAGGGTGCTGGCCACATACACTGGGGCTGCTAAACAACAATGGCAACAACAACAGGAAAAAAATAGCCAGGCCATTGTGGCTGGCACCTGTAGTCCAAGCTGCTTGGGAGGCTGAGGCAAGAGGATTGCTTAAGCTCAAGAGTTGGAAGTTGCTGTGAGCTGTGACATTACGGCACTCTACCGAGGGCAACATCGTGAGACTCTGT